CTGTCAATTCCTATTTTGAATTTGATTCCCCATAATTTAACCCCACCCCTCTCCCGAACACCCTAGCATTTACTTCTTTTACAACCCCATCTATAAATATATTAAACAACCATGGTGACATTACACATCCCTGTCTAAGACCTACTTTTACCGGGAAGTATTTTCCCTCTCTTCTACACACCCTAACCTGAGCCTCACTATCCTCATAAAAACTCTTAACAGCATTTAGTAACTTACCACCTATTCCATATACTTGCAACATCTGCCACATTGCTCCCCTATCCACTCTATCATATGCCTTTTCTAAATCCATAAATGCAATAAAAACTTCCCTACCTTTATCTAAATACTGTTCACATATATGCTTCAATGTAAACACTTGATCTACACATCCCCTACCCACTCTGAAGCCTCCCTGCTCATTCACAATCCTACATTCTGTCTTACCTCTAATTCTTTCAATTATAACCCTACCATATACTTTTCCTGGTATACTCAATAAACTTATTCCTCTAATTTTTACAATCTCTTTTGTCCCCTTTCCCTTTATATAAAGGGACTATACATGCTCTCTGCCAATCCCTAGGTACCTTCCCCTCTTTCATACATTTATTAAATAAAAGTACCAACCACTCCAACACTATATCCCCCCCTGCTTTTAACATTTCTGTCATGATCCCATCAGTTCCAGCTGCTTTACCCCCTTTCATTCTACGTAATGCCTGACGTACTTCCACCACACTTAAAATTCTGCTCTTCTTCACTCCTAAAAGATGGTATACCTCCCTGGCCAGTGCATGAAATTACCACCTCCCTTTCTTCCTCAACATTTAAAAGTTCCTCAAAATATTCTTGCCATCTACCTAATACCTCCCTTTCCCCATCTACTAATTCCCCTACTCTGTTTTTAACTGACAAATCCATACTTTCCCTAGGCTTTCTTAACTTGTTTAACTCACTCCAAAATTTTTTTCTTATTTTCATTAAAATTTCTTGACAGTGCCTCTCCCACTCTATCATCTGCTCTCTTTTTGCACTCTCTCACCACTCTCTTCACCTTTCTTTTACTCTCCATATACTCTGCTCTTCTTATAACACTTCTGCTTTGTAAAAACCTCTCATAAGCTACCTTTTCTCTTTTATTCACACCCTTTACTTCATCATTCCACCAATCACTCCTCTTTCCTCCTGCCCCCACCCTCCTATAACCACAAACTTCTGCCCCACATTCTAATACTGCATTTTTAAAACTATTATTATAATTATTATTATAATATTATATAATTATTATTATAATTATTATTATTATAATATAAATTATTTGGAATTTTTATTCACAAAAAATAGAACATTTACTGTTATGCAGACTTCTGCATTATTGTAATAATTGTATAAATAATGTTAATCCATTCATGACTGCATATTGGAATGGAGGTGACTTCATTTGTTTACTCTTGAACATCAACAAAAATAGAACATTTCTGCCACTTTGAGCTCATTTTCAAGGTACTTCTCGTCATGAAACCATTCAAAATCATATCTGTTTCTGTAATATATCTTCCATTCTAACAAATGAGACCAAAAAAACGAGAATACAACCATAAAAACTGTATGAAAATACCGCTAAGGGGCGGCTAATTGCTGAGAAGTGAACTCCATTATCTATGGCCCTATTTCTTTCATTTTTGGTGTACGTTAAGAAGCATCTTTCCATCATACATTGCCCAAGTTTCAATAAGATAGCCCAACAAACAAATGTGATCCAATTCAAGATTAAAAGCAAGAGCCCCTCACCAGTGTCTAGGTACCTCCTTTGAGGCCTGCTGGCTTATGGAAATTTCGCTCACGTATGGAAGCAAAAAATCAACCGATCAACTGCTTGTATTTGGAAAAACTTGCATGTGGATGCGCTTGCAAGTGGAGGTTCTACTGTATTTCTTCGGATTTAGTAAATTTACTTGTGCCCAATATTTGAGAGTATTTTTCCATATCTCCTTTAACCCTTAAATGGTCCAAACGTATATATACGTTTTTTCAACATCTGAAAGTATGTAAAAAAATGTAGATCTTTTTTGTTTTACATTTGAAAACGTGTCAAAAAAACTTTTATCTACTTTTTTTTTTGTTATATTTGAAAATATGTAAAAAAAAGTAGATTTACTTTTGTAGCACTATGAATTTGAACATCAATCTGTTTGGACCGTTTAAGGGTTAATTTAATCGCACCTTTTGACATTTGTTGTGATTTTAAGAGCATTGTGAGTGCAAAAGAGTATCTATCTGCTAGTTCTTTGAGTATTAATCCCAGTCTGTATTGTTTCTTGCAGTTATGCTTTTTTGTCAACAGGATGCTACTGGTTAGCTATGGGCTAACCATGCAGTGAGTGATGCATACTCTTAAGATGGTCCTGATGTGTGTTCCTTAAAGGGTCTCTAATAAGTTTGTCGAAGTTCCTGAAAGCAATTCTTAGATTTGCCATACTTCTTTGTGGTTGCTTCCTTCCTCTCCTTTCCCCCTTCCTTTCTTTCATTACCTTATCACAGAATTTTAGCAGATTTTTGAGACGAGATTCACTATCTAAACCCATACTGACTGTTGCCTATGAACCTACTGCTCTCCAAGTGCTCTAGTACTCTTCTGATAATACAATCTTATACGTAACCTTATATACCATGTATGTCAATGACACTGCACTGTAGTTTAATACAAATTATCTGTTCCCATTTTAAAATATTGGGACTACATTCACTTGTTTTTTTACACCTTCAGCAGCTGCATCATTTCAATTGACTTAAAGATTGCAGTGAGCGATTAACACAGTTTTTCTGCTTCCTTTTCTCAGAACCCACAAAGGGATGCCTGGTCCCATTGTTTTACAGGTATCTACCTCCCTTTCCAGTGTGTGTTTTGTGTCCGGTACTCATTGGTGAACCCATCCTCTTTGACTCTGGCAATGTTCCCATTTCCACTAAGAATGCCCTTTTGTTCAGCTTCTTACAGAGATCCTAATCATGTTTAGTGAGTACCCTTCCTTCCTGTTCAACTTTCTTACCTGGGCCTTTACAGTTACCTTCTTTCTGACATGGCTACATATGTACCTGCTTTGGCTCAAACTTGGCTTTTGATGCTATACCATTCTGAAATTGTTCAGCCTCTTTTCTTACCCATGCATATTCATTTTTGACTCTTCTGCTTGCCTTTTTGTTTCCCTCCATTCTTTTGTCTTTGCTATGTTCATCTGCCTCTCTGCAAAAGTTGCATTGTTTCTGGAGCTGCAATCTCCATTATGACTTCTGAGAAGCCTACTATATTGTCTTCTGGCTCTGTCCTTACTCCATCAGTGATGCACAAGAGGTCTTAATTAACACTGAAGATGAAGCTGGAAATTACTATAATTCTGATGCTCATGGGAAGCCATCTACACTAGTAAGGTATGGTTTGAGCATCAAATTTGCAAATTAGGATGACTGGTGAATCTGCAAATGCTATCTGATAAAGCAGCTGCAGCAGTTTCTGGAATACTTCAAGCCATCATAATGCAGACGAGACACAGTAATATGGAGTTGACCTAGATTATCCTGCACTACCTACTGCTCTCACCAACTAGACCTTCAACACCCATCATATCCCTCTGTGGTTGTCTGCTGCAGTTAGTAAGTACAAGTAAAATACATTACAGTGCTCATTTATAGGTATACAGTCATAGCCTCAAAATGTGCAAGAAATGGGTCTTGAGCCAGTATAATCAAAGATTTGGAATGCAGTTCTGTGTTAAATTGCTATTTAACCCTTTCTTTTGGTCGTATATATACGTCTTACGAGCCACAGTTTTTGACGTATATATACTCATAAATTCTATCGGCTTCAAATCAAGCAGGAGAAAGCTGGTAGGCCCACATGTAAGAGAATGGGTCTGTGTGGTCAGTGTGCACCATATAAAAAAAAATCCTGCAGCACACAGTGTTATGCAGTAGTCTGCATAACAGTAAATCTTCTATTTTTTGTTTGAATAAAAATCAAAATAGAAAGCAAGAGTAATATCAGAGGGGCCTGGAGACGTGACTGGTGAACAAAGGAAATGTTATTTTAGAGCTAGGAATGTCTGCATTGTTCATTCTGGACCCTATTTTGGAATTATCATACTTTTTAATTTTCGTGAAATTGGCCAAATTGCAAATTTCTGGCCACGTTATTGGGTAGTTGAAATCGGTAAATGGGCAGTTTCTTGTACTCAATCGATAGAAAAAATGGAGTTCTAAAGAAATTGCAATGAGTTCGCCCCTCAAGGAAGGTTCCTTGATGTTGGTGAGGGGCTCTTGATTTAGGGAATTGGATCTGTGCTCCAGTTCCCCGAATTAAGCCTGAATGCCTTCCACATCCCCCCCCCAGGCGCTGTATAATCCTCCGGGTTTAGCGCTTCCCCCTTGATTATAATAATAATAATGCAATGAGTTCGTTCGATTGGAACAATGAAATTAGCTGAAAACAGGGCTCAAAGTGGGTGAAATCGCCGATTCGTATATATCACCGATGTCGCTAACTTTGCGAGAGCGTAATTTCGTCAGTTTTCCATAAAATTTCGTTCTTTTGGTGTCAGTACAATCGGGAAAAATTCTCTATCATTTCATGAGAAAAAATAATTTTTTTTTCTTTTTTGGAAATTTTGAGACACCAGGAGACACCTCAGGATTTGGGGTTGCGACAGTCAAGGGGTTAAATATATGTGCCATGGTACAGGAATTCACCCATCACATATAGTGAGGGGACTCACGAAATCATAATGACACGACTGCAAACAAATCATACCACGGGCAGGGATAGAACCCGTGGTCTGGAGTTTTATGACTCTCTGATCATTGGTTCTATCCCCGCCCGTGGTATGGTTTAAATGAAGAGAACCTGTAGTGCACTTTTGTGATAGATGGCAGCCGATGTGTTAATAATAAAAAAAAAAAAATGTAAAAATCACTAACATCTTACTGGGGAAAGAAAACAAGTCGTATTTTTAGGTTTATAGTACAACCAGCATACACTACAGAATGTTGAACAGGCATGCATTTTGACTGGTTAAGCAAACTGGGTGAGAGCAATACATTTGGTTGAAGATTGATTTTGAAAACATTAAGACTTGATTGGCCCCTAAGCAGGTACTGTAATTTTAATTTAATTCTTGTTACTGACTCTGGATTTGGGATATGCAAACTGAAGGACTACTTGATAACTTTGAGTGTAGGATCACTTCAGTTTATGAGAAATTGATAAACTCTGTATAGTGGGAAAAAATGCCAATCAAACCATAAAACAAAATATTTGCTAATGACTTTGTTGAAAAGCGTGTATCAGTAAGACATTTTTTACTGGCTTGTATATGTTTGTTCTCTTCAGTTTTTTTTTTTATGCCTACTGCACATGGTGTAATTTAACTGGCTTGATACATATTTCATAGCAGGAAAGATTTCATTAACTTTTTTTATTTCTCTCATAAATCACTATTCAGTTCATTACAATACAGTTTTGATGTTCCATTTACAAATACTTTCTTAAGCTGTCCAAGTAATTAAAAATGGTTAACCTGAACTGGTTATGCAACATTGTGTCTAACTACTTGCTACCTGCAATTAACACCTGTAAAAACAGTCATATTTTCACTTGCACCCATACTTAAAAAATTACAAGGTTCAGACAGCTCTTGAAATCTTTACCTTTCATGAAAAGATCTCTTGATGCTGGTGAAGGACTCTTGATCCAATAAAATGGAACTACCTTTCCTTGGATAAAATTGGATTGCTTTCCATTTCCTTGGCACTATGACCTTCTATGGGTTTAACACTTCCACCATAATCTTAAAATTTATAGCTTCAAAGTGGGATTGTTTATTCTAGTAGCTCCCACAGAATATGTACAATTGCTGCTTCATATAAACTAGCAACTCCCTACAATTGCTCTATTGCCATATGATCGTAATATTGGCAAGATAAAAAAAAAAACTGACTCGTATAATACTTGGGGAAATCTCCCAATCACATGCATTTTTTCATCTCACATTTTTAAGGCCACATTTATGACCATTGCATTTGTTGTATTTTGAAGCAATTTCCCTTCACATTAGCCATATTTATCAATTTGTTTTGCATTCTTTGCATAATCTATGCAATGTTAGCTTTGAGAATTAGTCCAGTCTTTCAATGCATAATTTTTCTGTGGTGCTTCTTAAGAAAAGTGCATATATCAATTCAGTGATAATATTATTTGAGATTTTAGTCTTAAGTGCCTGTTTTTTTTTTTTTTTTTTTTTTTTTTCAAGAAATTCACAAGTGCTCTCACACCAAGCCATAAATGTAACAACAACAATGAAGAAACATTAGTTTATACTCAAGAGTGATGAAAGACAATATAACCAATACACAAGACTACTTGGTACATCTAGAGCAGCATTTCTGAGCTTAAATTGCCAGACAACCCACTAGTTATTTTAGGACCAAGTCCCTGTGTAAGCTGTGGACTAATGAGAAATGCTGATCTATAAGAAAGTCGATAAATTATGAAAATGTGCACTATTACTTATGAGCAGCAGCCTGAGACAGAGGACACTAACAACAATGGAAGACTTTTATCCACCTGGCTAGAACTGACTGATTTATGGAGTGGTTACAACATGTGTCAGAAATTAAATAATGTAAATGTACTATCTCAATTTACAATACACACAAATTTAAGAAGATAATATAAATTCATCCACCATTACTGAGCATGGCTGGTTGTAAGACTTGCTGAGGCATAAACTTATTTAAGGTTTAAAATCTGCTTGTCAATACAACCACCATGGCATAAGATAGGAGCTTTGTTCTCCAGTCTCAAGGAACAGACCTTGAAAATTGGACAGTTTACTTGTTCACCAGTCCTTCCAGAATACAATTAGCTTGTTAATTTTATATCTAGATCTTCAATTACTGCAAGATGCTCTGAGGCAATTGAAATTAAGGAACTTCACCGACAGTATTTCCCCTCCATCCAGTAATCAAACCTGGGACTTTTCACTTACAATGCATGCTAATCATTACACGATGAGATTTAATTTATAGTGTGTACTAACACGTAATACTGAATCAGAACAGTTTAATACACTAAAGATTGAGTGTAATATATTACCACTAATTGTTACCAGTATCTCCCTTATAAATATATTCTGATGTCTGGACGATTTCTTGAGGAACAGTAATGCTAAGGTAAATGAGGGGTCAGCTTTTAAGCAGGTATGGTGCAAACATACTCCCACAATATGCAAGTGTCAAGGTAATAAGGAAGTGCAATATTAATGAAAGTGCAAGACTGTGCTCTGGGTTACTTGTCAAGGCACATTTTTTTTTTTTTTAGTTTGGAAGATATGAAATCACATTTCAGTTTATTTTGTAATACAATGGGACTTATTTTCCAGAGGATGGAGCAATATTTTTTGTGATATGTAACATAAAAGCAGACAGTTCAAAAGAAATGCTAAATAAAATTACCAGTCTCTAAAATTATTCATTACATAACTGTCACTTAAGCCATACCACCAAATGGTTTTTGTTGAATAATACTAAATACAATAAATAATTTGCGATGTCTATATATTATATTATTGAAACTTGAATATTCCTTTTACTCCCACCTCATTTACTACAGCCAACTATGATAATACAGTACATAATTTAAAAAGTAACTGAATAAAAAGAAATAGACTAAACATTCCCCCATTAACTGAACTTCTTACCTTTCTCTGTCCTAATTTGTTACCATCATGTAAAAATTGTACAAATTTTGATTATACTTTTGAAAGACTCTTAAATTTAAATAATCAACTAAGCCAATACCAACATTACCAAAGTGAATTCTAACAGAATTACTTAATTTTCTACAACAAAATTTTCTCTAAAAAACAGAATCCTTTTATATAGTATTTTTAAAATCTTGTAATTGTAAGAACAATGAAATAAACAACAGTAATAATTTTATCAACACAACAGATTCCTATCCTCTTGGCAATGGTAATGTAGCTTTAATGTTGCTCTTTAATTACTGTATTGTAGAGGTTTTTTCTGGGGGAAAGAAAATTTTTATATCTGACACCGTGATTGTCTGCACCAAGTTTACCAATTACAATTACTGTATTTCCACAAGTTAAACACTCCATCAACTGGTTATTGCTAAGTGAAGTACAATATACGAAGTACAAATATACTGTACAGTATATGCCTAATTCTCACATTCACTAGCTAATGCTGAAAATTCTAAACCTATATAATTAAGATCCTGTCTTTGACTGATCCATGATTATGGTTCTCAGAGACTTTTGATTTTAAAACTGTAGAGCAGGACATCTCATTCTAGATCTTAAATAAGTAACTGCTGGAAGATCCAGAAATATGTTGAGCCCAAAAATATGAAAATATGGATATGTTGCCTTACTAACAAACTTAAAAATTGTCGCATTAATATGGGCTGTTTTTTATAAATCCCCAATAGGCTACTGTTTAGTATACAAAAATGGATGTACGACAAAGTTATATCGAGTAGACTATCCACTCATATCACAAGACTAATTACCATGAGTATTATTTTGCCTACAGGAGTGTAATGTACTCATTACTAATTTAGGCAGTAAATTAGTAATGAGCATACTGATTTACCCAGTCACTATACAGAGGTCCCTTAAGGGGCCACTGTACTGGATTTGTATTATACCTATTTTTTTTTTTTTTAAAGAATTTTGATATCTTTTTAATTCTTTTCTTAGTCAAATATATTCACTAAATTTTGTATGAGGGTAAGGAGAGCTTAACATAAGTAAAAATTAACAGTGACTTAATTTAAAGGAATATTACTTTATATACATAAATTTCAATACCTCACAACCTGTGACCTTGTAAATTATTTTCTTTTTATTGTTCCACTTGGGCTTCTTCTTCCGACTCATGGATGATGTCTTTCTTATTAGCTGCTTCTAGGTCTTCTTGATATTTCTTTATAAACTCAGCAACATTCGTATGACCAAACTGATCTGCATCATCGGCAGGAGTGTGGCCCCATCTAATTACCAAAGTAGTTATTAGAAACTGGGTGTGCCAAAGTATGTATCAGTATTGGTACCAGTGGGTATTGGCTGTTTTTATGGTAATAGCATTAACCCTTAAACTGTCCAAACGTAGATCTACTTTTTTTACATAAGAAACAATGTAAAATCAAACGCAGATCTACGTTTGGAGCACTATGCGTGCGAATGTAGATCTATGTTTGGACATTTTAAGGGTTAATAAAGTGGCTGATACCAGTCAATACTTTTAAAATATTAATACAGTGGACCCCCGCTTAACGATCACCTCCCAATGCGACCAATTATGTAAGTGGATTTATGTAAAGTAAAAGGACACAAGTGCAACTTTACATATTGTCGGTAATTCTACCAACTTTATTACAAGTGTATTTATGTAAGTGCATTTGTACGTGTATGTTTGGGGGTCTGAAATGGACTAATCTACTTCACAATATTCCTTATGGGAACAAATTCGGTCAGTACTGGCACCTGAAGATACTTCTGGAATGAAAAAATATCATAAACCGGGGGTCCACTGTACTACATATTTGCTTAAAAATAGGAAAGTTAACACTACACAACTGTGAGGATTACTCAAACACATAAATCCATGATTTATTCTGGAGCAGAGAGTAATAAGACATTGTTAATTGTAGGAAAATAATGTACCACTTCAGTCACTCTCTAACCTGCAGAAAACTAGCACTTCAAGAGCAAAATGAATTACTAAAGCACAGTCTCATTTAGGATGTACCTACCTATGTCACATCATGTCTGTGAAAAAGAAGCCATTGCAATAACACACCTTCCATCATTTGATGGAAATAAGTAGAATCTTATTTCCAAGTTATCTTCCTTAGTGAAAGAAACTGTCTCAACTGCAAGTGCAAAATTTGAAATATTTCATCAACAGAGCCTCTGTGAAAGAGAATCCTTGTTGTGGTAAAGAGGCTTTTGGTCTGAAGACTTGGACCTTTTGGTCTTCTTCCTCTGACTGACCCGACTCCTTTCCTGCTTTTGGCCTCTTGGGTCCTTCCCTTAGGAAGTCTAGCTCCTAGGTTGGAGAAAGGGTGTTGTTGGCCATTCCATTCTGCTGAGGTCCTTGGTGGTGGTGGTGTTTTTTGTGAAATCTAGATCATCTGAGGATGTCCCAATCCCCCTCCGGAGTTTCAGGGGGATAAGGTGGCTTAGGGTGATAGATGTACAGTGGACCCCCGGTTTGCGATGGCATCGGTATCCGATAAATCCGGTATTCGATACATTTTAACGCAAAAATTTTGCCTCGGTTCTTGTTAAAAAATCTGCCACACGCGATTCGTCCGAGACATGTCCACGTGTGGCCCAGTGTTTACAAGCCAGCCAGTGTGCTCGCATCTAAGGATACATTCGGTACATTCCATATTATCACAGTGTTTTTGGTGCTTGTTTCTACAAAATAAGTCACCATGGGCCCCAAGAAAGCTTCTAGTGCCAACCCATTGGTAAAAAGGGTGAGAATTAGTATGGAAATTAAGAAAGATTTTGAAGGGTTTGGGGCTAACCCTGAGAAGCCTATGCCAGTTGTGGAATCCATTGTGCCTACTTCAAAATTAAGGAATGGTGCAATTGGGTTGAACTGCAAACCTTTATGGATGAAAATCCCCTTTACACAGCTATTCACCATCACAAAAACCCGCACATAAAAGAGAAGCTTCCCGACGACGTTTCAGTCCGTTTGGGCCCATGACAAGTCACATGCCCGTAAGCTTCCTCTTTTATGTGCAGGTTATTTGTGTTCGTTCCAGTCCGGTATTTTGCCTGTTTTTTTGTTTACAAGCCGTGTGGTGGACTATTACAGACATGTGTGGCCCTTTTAGACAATGTAAAGGAAGGGAGGTACAGGCTCCATGGAAAATTTTGTTGTGCGATGAGCCTCTTCAAGGGGGCTCTTGGCGTGGTGAAGAGGCTCTTGGTCTGAGAATTAGACCTTCAGTCTTTTCCTCGGGACCGAACCTAATACCCCCCATTTCTCCCTCCCCCTATCCATCCTCCCCTTTTTCCCTTCCTCCTCCTCCCCTCCCACCCCTCCTTTTGCCCTTCCTCTTTTGGCCTTTGGGATTTCTCCCACAGGCGCGCTAGTTCCTAGGTAGGGGAAGGACACCGGGGGTCCACCCCATTCCTTGAGGTCTTGGCGGTGGCGTAGTTTGCCGTGGAATCTGGAATGCCTGGGGATGTCCAATCCCTCTCCGTATCCTGGAGTACTTGGGTGTCTTTCGGGGGGAGGGTGATCTCTGGAACCCACCTTTCGGATTCTGGGGTGGTGCCGGGAGTATGCTTGTGGCGGATATCCGGCCGCCCTCTTTTTCCCGAGGTAGTTCGGCGATGTGGGTTTTGCTATCCGATTACTGGTTACTGCATGAGGTAGGTTGGCACGGGTTCCCATGTGCATCTGCGTACTAGCGTGCTGAGGTCCTCTTGGCGCGGAGGGAGATTGGGCCCCTTTCATTCCTCCTGGAAACTATCTCCCCGCTCCCCCCTTTTTTATTCTTTTTTTATTTTATTTTCTTTCTTCTTTCTTTTTTTTTTAAAACAAAAAGCAAGGGAGAACTAACTGAGAACCCAATCCATGAACCCAACTCCCGGGGCCCTTTTTGTACCGCCCCCATTCTGACCCTGCTTGTGTTTAGACCCACTCTTGGGACACTCCTGATGCCCCTGTACCTTTGCGGGTGCTGTTTCCTCACCCGCTTTCAGGTACCGGGATTCGGCTGACTCCTTCGATTTGCTGAACTCGTCTCCTTTGACTATGCTTCTGGGTCTCCCTCTCGGGACGGCAATTTCGAATCACCCGCCCATTTCACCGCCAACTCCGTCCTACTCCTAAACGCCAACGCAATCCCGATGTGCCCTTTGTCCCTTCCCTCTCCCGGGAAAAGCCAAACGTCAAGCACTCCCTCTCCACGCTCAGTTTCGGACCACACATGGACTAAATTCTTTATTTTAAAGACCGACTTCTTCTTCTGCCTACCTTTCGGGCCCATAGTATTGGCAAAGCGCTCCTCCCGTCATGTTGGTAGAGATTTTTCATTTCATGCTCTCCGAGCGGTACGCGCATCGTCACTGTCCAGAATGCTACCAAGCTCATGATCTTTCTCCTTTCGAATATCGATACTACTCCATCACTATAAAAAAACATTTTTCCCTCTCAATTCTTGTAGTGGTACTGTCATTCTGCCCCATACCATGTCCAACAGAATTTCCGTCATGTGGCAAGACTTTTCTTGAACAGCTGGAACTCCAGGATCTCCCAATCCTCAAAGTGACACTTATGTCCTTCCTGCCCGGGGGCGGAGACGTTACCCTTCCCAATGTGGCTCGTTTATCTTTTGACACCCGAGAACTCCCGTCCTCTGTATTGTCGGGGGGACATCGGTTACAAGTTCAAAAGGTGATACCCACCCCCAAAAAAACAATGTAGAAATTGCTGGCGTTTTGGTCAACCCAGCGAAATATTGCAGATCTATGGCGAAATGCCCAGTCTTTTGGTGCCGACGACCATTCTAATACATCTTGCAGTCAACCTCCATCTTGCCTTAATTGTAATGAAGTCCCCCCTTCGTACTCCCGCCGTTGCCAGGTCTACTTAAATAAACGTGAAACCCGTTGCCTCAAAGAGGCAGAAGGTCTCCCTTATGCTATGGCAGTTACTCATCTCCGCCCCCAAGGGGGGACTACCCCGTGTTTCTTATTCTGTGTTTCCAAAACAACCCCCCACTTCTGGGGTCCCATCTTCTGCAGGCCTCCTCTGTTACACCTCCCATAGCCACTCCCGGCACAAAACCTTTTGCTGTCCGGGCCCCCTCTGACGTCCGACTACAATCAGTCGTTCTCACATCTTCGCGTCCTTCCCCACACGCCCCAGTATCGACAAGGACCTTGTACGACACCTAATTACCATCGCCCCTCTACTTCTTCAGAAGTCCAAAAATCCACATTTGCCAAATCTTTCTTTGCCCCTTCCTTCCCTTCTTCCCCCTCCCACACTTACTTTCCGTCCCCTGTCCCTAGTTCTTTCCCCTCTTTCTGGCTTATTAAAGTTGGATATTCACCCTCCTCTCGTACTTTTGCCTTCCACCCCATCCCCTCCGAAGTTTCTCTCTCTTCTGCCACCTCCCAGTTTCTGCCCCCTTCTGTCCCCCCTACCTTCATCTCCAGCCCCTTACACTCTTTCCCCCCCCCTCTATTTTGGTTTAAGTCCTTTACTGTCCCAATCTTTACTCACCCTCCTCCTTCTATCCCCAATATGGTCCTCCCCATACTCTTTGATTCGAAACACCTGAAGCCATTTCAGATATATTGCAGAGACAAACCCTCAATGGACACTGATTCACTTCCTGTTCCTTCTTTTCCCTCCCTCCATCTTCACAACCCCTTCTCGCACGCTCCGTCCTCGCTGCTTGAAGTCTTCCACCCACCACCGTAAAACTTTCTAACCCCTCTAGTCCGAGGCCTTACCTGGAGTTCCTGGAGAGGTTTCGGGGTCAACGCCCCCCGGGCCCGGTCTGTGACCAGGCCTTTCCCTACAGATTCCTGGTATTTTCTTCATCGCCAATCAGGGCCTATTTACAGTGGAATATCTGTGGCCTTTCAGGGGTAATCGGGGTGAGCTTCAGAGTTGCTTTCCAGGTTTTTTCCCTGTTGGTGCTTGCTTACAAGAACCAAAATTACAACTCGGTTTGTTTTCCAACCTACTCAGGCTATAATTTATTGTATTCTTCGGATCCTTTCTCAGATGGACCTTTAATGAAAGTTGCCCTTCTTCTACGCAATGATATTCCGTACTGTCAACTATTTGTCCATACCCGCTGCATACACTGCAGCCCGTATCCACTTGAATAAGTGGTTTACAATATGTTCTTTATATCTCTCTCCTTCCGAGCATTTTCTTCCCAGACTTTGCCTTTTTTGTTTCATCCTTACCACCACCACTTCTGTTACTTGGTGATTTTAATGCCCA